TCCCTCGCTCCCCTCTCTCGCTCCCTTCCCGCCTCTTCCTCTTCCCCCTTCTCTCGCTGCACGGCGCACCTGCCTCAGTGCATGCCCCTGCCCGCACGATGCCCGGCTGGGATTGAAGGGGGAGCGGAGGGGCCGACAACCAGAGCGAGTTCGTCGGAATTCATAAACGAAGTGTCGGGGGAACACCGAGAACACATATTATCGACGGCGTCCAGTGTTATGGCACTCTTCTTTTTCCACCCCCTCCTTCTCCACCCCTCTTCCTTACAGGTCGCTTCCCTCCACTGTCGTACGGGGATGGCGTTTCGCTTGAGACGCGCTCACCGTTCATGATTCCGAAGCTGGACATGTTCAACAGTTGCGTGCACGGATGGAGCCCGATGCGTTTTCAAGATCGGGCACTCGCCCTGGCACCGCGCACGCTCGTCTTGAACCATGAGCCCGTTGCAAGGCTGCAGGGGGCCGTTTTCAAAAGGGGGGTCTTTGGCCTTGGTTCCGAACACATATCGCTGTAGGCACGTGCGTGCAGGGCGGGTCGGGCGTTTCGCCGACACGCCGCGCCCATGCGTCTTCAGAGTTCGCTGCAGTTGCACAGTTGGAGGGCGGTTCGTTGTCAAAATGAGGCCCCCGTCTCCATTGATCCTCGCACTTCGTGCGCCGAGGGTCCAAACTGGACCTTGTCTGCACGAGTGGGAAGTTGCGCCCCTCTGAAAATGGGGCTTCCGCCTCAGACTGCTTGCGCGCCTTACGGCAGTGCTTTTGGAAGTGTGCGACACCTGTACGGGGGACGACATCCCCTTGTGAAAAACAGAGCTGACCCTGAGCTGTGTTTTTGGCGATTTCGTGGGCCGTTTTCGTTTCGATCTCGTTTTGCGGTAAAGGCGGATTCGAGACAAAAGCGAGGGACCACGAACCCAAAACGAACACGAAAAACACCGTTTAGGCGTTCAGCGATGGTGAACAAGGAGCTGTCGCCAGGCACTCCTGTGGACTGTCTGGCCATGCCTCTTTGCACCTCTACAGTCGGGGCCCTGAAGAAGGAACCCTTTTCGTTGGGGAGGGGCTCCGTGTTCCTGGATTGCTTCACAGCTTGCCTCGGGTGTTCCTTTTGGCTTTCGATCGGAAATCGAAGTTCAGCTTGTGGATAGCCATATGGAAAAACACGCCATATTGGAAACAAACACGCCAGATTGAAAAACACGCCATACTGAAAAAAACACGCCGCATTGAGCAAACATTAAAAAAAACAAAAAATAATAATAATAATAAAAAAACACGCCATATTGAACAAAAAAGCACAGCCTCGTTCCTTATTTAGGGTTCCTTGGGTCAAAGCCCCGACTCTGCCAGCCGGAAGGGAGGACGGCGGGTCCTTGACGGCGGGCCCTCGACAGCAGGGAGTCTCGCCCGCGCACGGCAGGACGACGGGCCGCCGCCGTGCTGCGGGGGGGGAGGAGGAGGAGGAGGAGGAGGAGGAGGAGGAGGAGCACAAGGAGGAGGAGGAGGAGGAGGAGGGGGAGGAGGAGGAGGAGGAGGAGGAGGAGGAGGAGGAGGAGGAGGAGGAGGAGGAGGAGGAGGAGGAGGGGAGGAGGAGGAGGAGGGGGGGGGGCCGTCTTCTTCGTCTTCGGCGGGCAGCGGTGCCCGCAGGGGCTTCTTCCGGGGAGGAGGGGCCGACGAAGGCATCTATACACCACCACCGTGCCAAGGCAGGGCCCTCCTGGGCCCCAGGATGGTGCATAGGCCCTCTTGGCCTCGGCCAGGAGGGCGTATACACCATCCTGGGGCCCAGGATGGCCCTGCCTTGGCACGGTGGTGGTGTATAGATGCCTTCTGCGAAAGGGGGCTTTGGGGGCCTCGGGCGGGGGGGGCTCGGCGGAGAAGTCCGAACGCCACCCTCGCCGATCAGCGAGTCAGGCAGCTCGATGGGCGGCGGGGGTGGGGTTCGGACTCCGTCGGACACCTGGCGAAGTCCGACCCCCGCCGCCCATCGACTCAGGAGAATCGACGACTGGTCGGGACAGCTCTCGGATGTCGCCACCTGTTCCGAGGAGGGGGCCGAAGACAGGCGGGCTTCCTGCAGCAGCACTGGCGGGTCCTGGGGTTGCTCTTGCCCCGCCCCTCCTCCTCCTCCATCCTCCTCCTCCTCTCTCTCCTCCTCCTTCCTCCTCCTCCTCCTCCTCCTCCTCCTCCTCATCCTCCTCCTCTCTCCTCCTCCTCCTCCTCCTCTCCTCCTCCTCCTCCTCCCCTCCTCCTCCTCCTCCTCCTCCTCCTCCTCCTCCCCCTCCTCCTCATCCTCCTCCTCCTCTCCTCCCCTCCTCCTCCCTCCTCCTCCTCTCCTCTCCTCCTCCTCTCCTCCTCTCTCCTCCTTCTCCTCCTCTCCTCCTCCTCCTCCTCCTCCTCCCCCTCCTGCCGCTGCTCCCCGCGGTGATCGGGGCCGAGCCCGGCGACGCAGAGTCCGCGGAGCTCGGCCCGGCCGCGGCGGGCGTGGAGCCCCTCATGAACGAGGCCCGGAGGGGCCCGGAGCCGGGGGGGAGGAGGAGGAGGAGGAGGAGGAGGAGGAGGAGCACAAGGAGGAGGAGGAGGAGGAGGAGGAGGAGGATGAGGAGGAGGAGGAGAGGAAGCACAAGGAGGAGGAGAGGAGGAGGAGGAGGAGGAGAGGAGGAGGGGGAGGAGGAGGAGGACGAGGAGGAGCACAAGGAGGAGGAGGAGGAGGAGGAGGGGAAGGAGGAGGAGGAGGAGGAGGAGGAGCACAAGGAGGAGGAGAAGGAGGAGGAGGAGGAGGAGGAGGAGGAAGAGAAGAAGGGGGGAGGAGGAGGAAGAGAAGAAGGGGGGAGGGCGGGGAGACGCAGGGGCTCCCGGGCTTCTGGGCGGTTTTTGGGGAAGGTTCGTCAGGATCTCGTCGCACCCGGTCGACATTTGGATGGCGTTTTGAGGAAACATGGGCGGCAGGGTGGAGAGGGGTGGTCGAAACCTGCACCACTGGTCGAGCTCACGGATATCATGGGGCCGCGGGGCTCCACAGAGGCTCCTGCGAAGGCACACCCAACGAGGAGTGAGGAAGGCGGAGAGAGGGCTCAGTGGAAGGGGAGGAGAGCAGGAGGAGGATGTTCAGGCTGAGGCGCGCTTGAGGGGATCGTCCCGGGCAGGCGGCATCGGCGAGCGCGAAAGCGAGGAGTGCCTCTGCGAATGCACATGGATGCGAGCAAGTGCTCAAGACCAGGAGGGAAAACTACAGAATGCCACACATAAACATCGAGCTCCAGGACAGCATGGTAGCATATGGGAAATGCATGGGGAACAGCGAACATCCAGAAACTATGGGAACACATGGGAATCCTGGAACGTGTGTCCATTCGTGTGTGACCTCCTGGGCGCCTCTGCAGTAAGAGTTCTGCCCAAAGCGGGCGCCGCGGCGCCCCCAAGAGAGGGCGTGGGCGGAGCAGCAGGCGGCGCCGTACGTACTCAGCAGGCTCGTTCGGCCTTGGAGCTGGGCGCTACCGGGGGTGGGTGACAGCCTGCAGGACGGCTGGGGGGGGCGGGGGAAGTTTTGGACAGTGTGTCGCTCCGCCGGTTCTGGCCCACCGCGCTTCGGCGCGACGCGCTATCCGATTCCCGGTCCCCGAGCGTCCACGTCTCGAGCCGTTCCCAGCTTCCCGCCCCCCGGGGCGAAGCGAAGCGCCATCCGCTCGCATGGCGCCGCGTGTCGCCGGGACCGCCGGGACGGCACGTTGAGCAGCCGCTCCTGACGGCGGCTGGGCGGGGCTCCTGTGCGGTCGACCCGAACGGTAGGAACGGCGCTTCTCCTCAAAGCGAGGAGCAGGGGAGAGATGAGCCAGGGCAGCGGGGACGAGGCCGCCAAGCCGAGCGAGGAGAGAAAAGCTGGGGCCGCGGACTGGTGTGAGGCATCGCTGGGAGGAGGAGTGAGGTCAGGGCGCGGGGGCGACGCGACAAGCAGCAATCGACGTGCCAAATGCGTCTCAGTTCCGATGCAATCTCCTTTCCTTGACCGATCTCCGTGCGCTCGAGTTGGAGCGAACGAAGCACAGACATCAGCACTTGTTTTGTATATATATATATATATCTATATATATATATATATATATATATATATATATATCCTCTGCTGTAGCATTCTCGTTGGGAAAGAACAGGTGCCGTGTTTGAGGGCACGGATTATTCCGTGCCCTCCTCCAGCATTTTTTCATCTGCCCATCTAAAGTACCTTTTCGAAGTCTAACTGAGTCTTTTGGAGGCGTTGTTTCAATTGACAGCCACGTGTGCCTCTGTTTACTTCGGATCTTGCCGCGTCATCTCCTTGCAATGCGTAGGCTTTGGCTTTCACATCTATCATGTCATCAACATCTGCCGTCTTATCATTGTATTGTCATTGTTATTCTTCGCCCAACCAATTGAGAGTCTCGACGTGGTCTGAAGCAGCAGCCGTGCATTTCTTATCCTCGATCTTCGATGCACTACCTTGGTTTACTTCTGCGTGGAGCGGCGCAATCAAGGATGACGCGTCTCAATCCCCTCCTCTAACCGCTGGGCGTTTCTCTGGTCATTTGCCCGCGATGGTCTGCCTCGCCGACCACAATCGTTGTGCAGAACTGATCTGGACTGGGAGATATCATTTGCAGGGTCAACGTAGCTGGCATACAACAACCTGCGCATGCTGGCGCACGTTTCTTGCTCTGCGCAGCAAAGCAAGTTCGTGTCGAATCGTCCTTCCCGGTTGCCATCTCGACGTTGCAAATGGCAGGTTCCTCATCTTCCGTGTGTGAAGGTGGGATCAACCAGCTTCTCGTTTTTGTTGTTTCAGTTTCTTCAACCAGTTGTCCTCTTTACCGTTTTTAGTGATACCCAACAGACGTGGTATCATGTGTATGTGCACGTTCACTCAACGGAGCCGTCGCTATGCAGAATTTGTCAAGATCGCGTGTCGGACATTTTGGCGTGTCGTACGGCAAGCGCCAACTAGATAATGCCGCCAAGTCCCCCCCTGCTGTGCGATCGCTTGGGGGTAATGTTGGCCTCGCTCTCTCTGTCTCTCTCTCTCTCTCTCTCTCTCTCTCTTTTGTTTTTGTTTTTCACAACTCTTTGTCGCCACTTTCGTGGGCTCATGGGAGGCCCAGCGGAGGTGGGTCCCACGCGGATCACCTCGGGACCTCGCGGTGCCCTGGGGGCTGCGATCTGCGCAATTGTCGCCATTTTCGTGGACTCCTGGGAGGCCCAGCGGAGGTGGGTCCCACGCGGATCACCTCGAGACCTCGCGGTGCCTCGGGGGCTGCGATCTGCGCAATTGTCGCCATTTTCGTGGGCTCTTGGGAGGCCCAGCGGAGGTGGGTCCCACGCGGATCACCTCGGGACCTCGCGGTGCCCTGGGAGCTGCGATCTGCGCAATTGTCGCCATTTTCGTGGACTCCTGGGAGGCCCAGCGGAGGTGGGTCCCACGCGGATCACCTCGAGACCTCGCGGTGCCTTGGGGGCTGCGATCTGCGCAATTGTCGCCACTTTCGTGGGCTCCTGGGAGGCCCAGCGGAGGTGGGTCCCACGCGGATCACCTCGAGACCTCGCGGTGCCTTGGGGCTGCGGTTTGCGCAATTGTCGCCGCTTTGGTGGGCTCCTGGGAGGCCCAGCGGAGGTGGGTCCCACGCGGATCACCTCGAGACTTCGCGGTGCTTTGGGGGCTGCGATCTGCGCAATTGTCGCCATTTTCGTGGGTCTTGGGAGGCCCAGCGGAGGTAGGTCCCACGCGGATTACCTCGGAGACCTCGCTGGTGCCTGCGATCTGCGCAATTTGTCGCCATTTTCGTGGGCTCCTGGGAGGCCCAGCGGAGGTGGGTCCCACGCGGACCACCTCGAGACCTCGCGGTGCCTTGGGGGCTGCGATTTGCGCAATTGTCGCCACTTTCGTGGGCTCCTGGGAGGCCCAGCGGAGGTGGGTCCCACGCGGACCTCGAGACCTCGCGGTGCCTTGGGGACTGCGATCTGCGCAATTGTCGCCACTTTCGTGGGCTCCTGGGAGGCCCAGCGGAGGTGGGTCCCACGCGGACTTCCTCGAGACCTCGCGGCGCCCTGGGGGGGGCTGCGATCTGCGCAATCGTCGCCGCTTTCGTGGGCTCCTGGGAGGCCCAGCGGAGGTGGGTCCCACGCGGACCACCTCGAGACCTCGCGGCGCCACGGGGGGCTGCGATCTGCGCAACTGTCGCCACTTTCGTGGGCTCCTGGGAGGCCCAGCGGAGGTGGGTCCCACTCGGATCCCCTCGAGACCTCGCGGTGACTTGGGGGTCACGATCTGCGCAACTGTCGCCACTTTCGTGGGCTCCTGGGAGGCCCAGCGGAGGTGGGTCCCACGCGGACCACCTCGAGACCTCGCGGCGCCACGGGGGGCTGCGATCTGCGCAACTGTCGCCACTTTCGTGGGCTCCTGGGAGGCCCAGCGGAGGTGGGTCCCACTCGGATCCCCTCGAGACCTCGCGGTGCCTTGGGGGTCGCGATCTGCGCAAGTGTCGCCATTTTCGTGGGCTCCTGGGAGGCCCAGCGGAGGTGGGTCCCACGCGGACCACCTCGAGACCTCGCGGTGCCCTGGGGGGCTGCGATCTGAGCAATTGTCGCCGCTTTCGTGGGCTCCTGGGAGGCCCAGCAGAGGTACGTCTTACGCGTTGCCGCTGCTCTTCTTTCTGCGCTCTTCTGAGTTCACTGATGGGCGCTCTTCTTCCGCACTGCGGGTTTTTCAGCATGCCCGTCAGCATTGAGTGGTCCCGAATGTAACCACCACATGCATAGAAAGGGTTGGGTATGTCGCAGGGTAATGTTTGCTCCCTCCCTCTCTCTATCTCTCTCTCTCTCTCTCCTCATTTCTCTCTCGGAGCCGGAGGAGGCAGGCGGAGGACCAGGGTAGACCCAAAACGCATCAACGATGTTGCAATAAACCCTCCCCCAGTTTCCTGAACGCAGGTCCCTACAATAATTCGTTAACATTGCGGATCGTGCCCCATTGGAAGACAATCGCATGAGAATCTTCACTCGTGCCAAAACATAGTTCTATGGACTTCAATGCCGCGAATCAATGTGTTTGTGGCGCCTTGAATCCTAGATCGTACCAGAACGCCATTCCTCAGACTTCAACGCCGCGAATCAACGTAGTACCTGCTGCGTCCTGACAATCCTCAATCGCCCCAGAATGCCATTCTTGGGACTTCAACCATACGAATCCATGGCACTGCTGTTGACTTTGAAACGGATGTGTGCGTCGCAAAGGCTAGAGGCACATTCTGACAAGGAACCACCCCCCATCACTGAAGCGGTTGCAGAATTTTGCGACGATTGCGCGCGGTGCTAAGGTGAGAGCCACACCCTGACGTCGACCCGTCCTCCATCCTGAAGGGTCTCGGACGAAACGCCCGGCCTGCCTTACTGACACATCTGGGGGGTGCGACAGGAAGGAGGTACGTGCAAGGAATAACAGGGGTGGAAGGAAGAGGAGGAAGAGGAGGGGGA